GCAGCTGACCAGCGAACAACCAGCGAATCGCCGCGAAGAAATCAATTATGCGCACGCGGCACAAAGGCAAAAGCCACGCCGCACAAATGACAACTGGGGACTTGGAATAGGACTCCAACTGGGCCCCCAAATGGAACTCCAACTCTGACTTCCCCCGGCTGATTGAGTATGCGACACAGGCAGCTCCGAAGTGGCGAACGCTGATGAATGTCTGTCAAATTGTTGACACGCCATGCAGACGCAGATGGAAAGATGGAGAGACATCGCTGACATTGACACAATGCACACGGAATGGGGGGAATCGAAAAAGAGGAGTCGCCTCTTAGTTTCGGTGAATCGACCTATGGATACCCAGTAAAAGAATAAAAACTAAACAATGTTAAACTCATTTCGGCAATAAAAAATATGAATTAAATGTAAATTAGCAATTTAGTTTCTCAATTTAAACAGTAATAGTCATAAATGATAAATGCAAAATTAAATTTCATTATTTAAATCAGTTTTCATTGCTCTGTTTTAATTACAAAGTTTTAATTAGATGGTCATTTCCAACTAAAATTTTCTTAAGAGTTCTTCTTATTATACTAAAGGAACTTAAAGTGATAAATCATAAGTTTAACAAGAGGTGACCAAAAAAAAGTTAAAAGTTAAAATTTACATATTATTTATAAATTTTACAAAAGCCTAAAAACGGAATTTATATAAGAAAAGATGAAATAAATATACAAATATTACTTATAATTTACAGAAAAAGTAAAGGAACAATAATTCAAATTATTTACCAAATGTATTAAAAATTGAACTCTTAAATATTTTTTTTCACAGTATGATTATTATAAGCACTGCTTTATCGTACCCAACATCCCCGATTAAAATCTAGCAATTTCAAGGGAAACTCCACTCAAGAGGCGACAAAGTTGCACCAAGTCTGCCCATGATGATGATCACGATCGTAATCGGGATCGGCTGATGATCATTCGTGGAAATATTTTATGCCATTTAATTTCAGACCTCACATCCCCGCGCCACAACCATCCCTGTCTGCCATCTAATTGAGTTGTTGGCCAGCTATATGGCCATATAGCCATATAGCTATATAGCCGAAGATCCGAAGAGAGTCGTACGATGGCTGGCAAATATTTATCGGCATATTAATGCAGCATATTTCAAATGCAAAGTCGACTCTCATCTGACTGACTTACTTCCTCAGTGAGCGGCACCCAAACATGTTTATGCAATTTCCCCGCCTGGTCTTCAGTCTTCAGTCTGCCGTCTTCAGTCTTCGCTCTTCGGTCTTCAGTCTTCGGTCTACAGTCTTCGGCCTCCTTGGTCTATGGCTTGTCTTATCAAATGATTTTATTTATGCTATGGGCGCGCATGTGTGCGATAATTGGATTATTTACTTTCGCGGCTTAGCAGCCAGCGAGTTGTGGAACTCGTGGAAAATTGTCGAGTTTTCGCTTTCTATTAAGTCGACCCAACGGAGACGCCCCTTACATGGGACACTTAATTTTCAAATTACCCGAATCCGATGCAGGGAAAACCGTTGGCAAATGTTGTCAAATTTTATTAGGTAATCAATTGGTTGTGTGGCAAAATAGGAAAGAAAAAGCTCAATACTGAGTTTAAGGAATAGGGTATTTAATTTTACATTTATTAGTAAAGTCAAATTTTTGAAAAAGAAAAAAAAAGAAAAAAAAAAAAATATGTATATAAATAAACAAAATTTTTCTGTTAATTCAATTTCCTATTTTTAGTTCCTTATAGTAAAAACCACCGATTTGACAGCTCAGGACAGGAGCTACCAATCAACGCTCCTTTTAGCAACAAAACTCCCACTCAACTTGGGTAAGAGACTATAGATCCCAGATTCCAGCTCCCGATTCTGTCGGTTTGTCCGTGGGCTTTTAGCCGACTTTGTACAAAACACCCAGTTGGCTACCAGGCAGCAAATAGACGGCCAAAACGGGGGTTTGGCATTAATATGTATGAGTGGTGTCAGGAGGCAATGCCACAACGCGTTTATCAAACATTTGAAACATGCGTTGACTCCTCCCCCTTCCCCTTCCCCCTTTCCTCCCCCACCACTCCCCCTCGAGCTGGTTGACCCAATTAACCGGGCATTATAAAGTCGTAAAGCATATTGCCAGACGTGAGCGGGGTGGTGGGCTGGGGAATTAGCAAATAGTCAAGCCCCCAGGCCAAAGACCGAGCCACAGATAGAGATAGATATATATATATATAGATTGCGACTGACAGACAGAGAGAGCGAGATAGGTGCACAGAAAAGAAATATGATCATTGTGATCTTATTATATATTAAACCAGTTTTGGCTGCTAATATTTTATTCAAATAGTTTTTAATAGGCAAAACAATTTAAAAAATATTATTATACCGTTTAAAATGAAATTAAAAATTTCTTTAATTTTGAAACTGGTTCGTATTTTATCTTAAATGTATTTGGCTAAGATTTGAATGATTTTAATTAAGAAGAAAACTTTAAACTAAACATAAGTGTATTAAACAACAATCAAAATTTAAAAATATTTTCTCATTTTTTCCGGTTTTAATGGTCTTTTATTTCAAATGCAGAGTCTGCTTCCATTATAAACGTGTTAATAATATTTTTTGTGTTCATAAAATAGGTGACAATCGCTCCCGCCAAATCCCATTAGATATTGCGAGCGAAAATCGACCGAACTCATAAATCACAAATCACTTTGGCAAACCATTTTTGGTAGCTGAACAAGATGTTAGGAGGGGTTGGGGGGAAATGCGGGGGCGGCTGCCAATGGTCATGTTTTGTGCGATAATATTGACAAATTGTGCAAACATTCGCACACAATTAATAAGCACCGCACAGATGGAGCTCCCCCACCGAAAAATGGCACAGAAAAGACAGACAGACTTTTTTCGCCCACGTGCTGGGGCGCGTGTTCGCATTTTGCAGAAAGCCAGAAAGTCAGAAATCGAAAAGCCAACCGACAAAGCCAAAAGACAAAGCCAAACGGAGCAAAAAGCAAAACAAAGAGCCGGGGGACATGACAACATAATTCAGATTCAGGGAGGGCGCACTGGCGCTACCTAAAAATAAAAGAGAAATCAAGAATGTCGCCAAGTGTCAGGAGACAATGGCGAAAAACAGTGGCACAAGCTTGTGCAATAAAACCTTATTTAAGTATTTTTAATTAAAATAGAAGTATTTTTATTATTCCTTAGTCTAAATTACAGTTCAATAGTATTGTTTGCTAGAATATATTTATAAGAAAACATTTTATAACTCGAACTCTTATAAGAATCCTCATAATTAGGTTTAAGCAGGACTATTTTTTTAAATAAAAACATATTAGTTTATAGTACTATGAATGAAAAATTATTATTGTGGCATTTTTCTAATAGCATTGAATATTATTAAACACGTTTTAAGTTCACAAACTTTCAAAAAATATAATAAAATTAATAAGTTTTAACTGTAATGGATTGAATTAAATTCCCATTATCAACAAGGATAATTAATTTCTCTGAGTTCCTCCCATAAATCATGTTCTTTAGGCATTCAAATATTTTGAAAACCCCATGTCACTGTGCCAATACAAACTTACTCCCCATAAGAGTGCATCCCATTGAGAATCACGAGTCCAAGCACGTAAAATGCGCCCACACAGAAGAGCCCTGAAGCTCTGGATTCGAAATCAAGAAGCATTTGCAGCCATGAGTTTGCAACTTTTTAGCCGATTGAGTGACCAAAGATACCCCGCTTTTCCCCGCTTTTTATTATATGATTGATGATTGCAGTTAGCGATGCGCCGATGCGCCTTTGAAGTCTGTATTTGAAGTACTATATCTTTTGGCCTTCGGCCAGCAGCACTCGACTTTCGTTTTTTCCAGGCAAAGACTAAAGTCGGCAATTTATGCCGGCATAACTCGTGTGTTTAGGCCAAGTCGCTGCGAATAAGCGGCTTAGTTGGCCAGGAAGCCGCGACGGACATTTGTGTTGACAAATCAATTAAATGCGAAATTTAAAGGCGCACACAGTAGCGCCGTGAGGCAAGTGGTAAGAAGTCTGCACGCAAATGTCTGTGGAAATCGCTGGAAGTCGCTGGAGTACTGGAGACTAGAGAATGGGGAGACCAAAAACCAGGTTTCTACTCCCAAAGAAACCTTGTCGACGCTTATCGAAAACATTGATCCGGCCATGCAAATCGTAAAGTGTGAAAACAAATTGCTGAGAGGCCCCCAGGGGAACCAAGAACCCATTCGAGAGACTCATTGCAGCCGTCGGATAATTGCACTCGATTTGTAATTCAAGATTAAGGGCAGACAGCTCAGATCGTCCGTTTTCCGTTTCTCGACTTAATTTATGTGCAGATCTTTGGCCGGGCATTGTTTCTCCACCGACCCATGATGATAATCACCTGAAATGTGGGCCATGAGTTAAGTGATTATGTAAATTTTTGGTTCGCTGACCAGCTGACCAGCTGAGTTGCCCACCTGGAGTCTGGATGCGATGGCATAACCTTCAATTGGCTTTGCCCAGACGGTTGGTAATTGCCAATCGAAAGGCCAGGATTTATGGCCAATTTGAGGAAGTTAGTGAAAGTCCATTCTGGCCAGTTTAATAACTTTAGTAAATAAGCAGGAGAGTGAAATAACTTCAAATAAATTAAACAATAAAATAACAAACTTAATTACCATACTGATGGGTAAAGAAACATTACATCGCTTTTAATTAAAATTTTGAATTTAGCAGTCACATATTTTTTTTACTTCTACATTTTTTTTTACCTATGCAGAAACTTTAATAATGAAGCAACAAAGAGGAAGTAATTCTAAATGTTCTTACATAGTTTAAAGTGTTTTGATATAAAACTTTTTCTATTATTAGAAATATTGTTAAATTTTGTAAATGTTTTTATTGTTTAAAATACGTTCTTAGCACACTACATCTATTAAATTGCTTATACAACATTAATTTAACATTATAAAATTGCATACTTACATCGTATTTACTTGACCTCATTTTACCCATTTATTTTGCATCTAATTTGCATTCGTATTTCGTCTACGCTTCTTTGTTAAATTCAATCCAGTCGAACATTTAGAATGCGATTTCGGTGAATCGATTTTGGGGGCCAAATTTTCAACGTGTTTTATTATGTGGGTATATATATTTTTTGTAGGTATTAGGCCTAAGAATTTTGAACACTTTGCAATTGCGATCGATTTAAGCACTTTATTAATTTGTGTCAGTTGATATATCAATAAAACAGTCTTTGATTATTGTTCTTTTCTTGAGTAGTGGTGGTGTGGCGACTGCAAGTAACGAAAAAGGGGCCCCCGAAAAAATATTACTCATACGACACGTGCCACGTGAAAAGCAGCAGCTGACTGACTGAAATTGAAACCGTAACCGTAACCGAAACCGAAACCGAGCGACCAGGAAAACCCCCAAAAGCGAATGGAAGTGGCAAGAAGCAGCAAAGTACGGAATACGGACTATAGAATACGGACTACGGAAAACAGGCCAAAGGCAGGAAATCAAAAACGATTCCGATAAACCAGGCTGACTGTTACTTTCAGCTGGCTACCCGCAGAGCCAAAAAAAAATATGTGTTTACGATTCGCGATTTACGACTGCCACCTTGCTGTTAATGTTCTCTCATTTCTCTCGCCGCCCGTTGGGCTTTTCATTTTGGCTTTTCCTTTGGCCTGACACGTTTCAGTCCGCCGTGTTGTTTGCGGGAAAAATCGTTAGGCGGCAACAACAACAGCGGGAAAGCCAGAACGGCAGCAAAATGCCAAAACTGCACGAAACAGACGACTGAAGCACTGAGCAAAAATTTTTATCAAAATCAGTGATTTGTTTTTCAGAATTAAAACTCGGTTTTTCATAATTCAAGCCTCTGACAAATTACAAGCAAAAAGTCATTCATTTTTTGTATCTTACACAAATAATTGACTTAATTAGCTTTTGAACTTTTTTTGGTCTCTAAGAATTATTTGACTCAACTTTTGAAATGTTTTTTTTTATGAAAATACCTTTTTTAAGAACTTTGAAAAATGTATTAGTTTATTTTACGTGACGTGAGTCTTGCACATTTTTGTAGCTAAAAAAAGAGTTTTCTTTGCAAACCTGAACTTGTAATATTTAAATCGAAAACCAAAAAAATATTTTAGTACCAGCCTTTAAAAAAGAAACTCATAGCTTAGTTATTAAAAGAAAGTAAAAAGAACAGAACAGTTTTCTGGGTAAAATAACTTGTTGAAATATGAAAAGCATATAATGTTCATAACCATACAATTCCGGGGTAACTGTATTAAATGATAGTTTTTGATGTAAGAATCTTTAACTCATAAATGTATTCCTAACTTCTAAAGACAATTTTTCGCTCAGTGAAGGGGGACAGCAGCAGCCACGTGAAAAATGCCGGAAACAGAAATCGATTTGCAGCAGAAAGAAGGCCCCAAAAAAAGGGGAGGTTCGGGCGAGTGGTGTGTTATGCACTCTGAGGTCACGATAGCGAGGCTCTTCTGTGGGGGATTCCTTAAATTAAAGTTCTCGGTGAACAGCAAATTATGTCACACACACGCAGCGCACGAAAGTAGGCAACGTTTTCGGGCTCGAATACACGGCGAAAATCACACTTTAGCGGTTGACAAACATTTCGCTTAGACTTTTGCAAATATCGAAAAAAATTGTAGAATTTTTTGTTGAAATTTTTTTACCCGATTTTATGAGCGTTTGCCCGATGTCGCTGGGCGCTGCTGCCTGTGCTGCTGCAGCGCTGAAAATTCACGTAACAATTGATTTGTGTGTCAAAAATGTCACAAGTGTCAAAACTTTACAGTGGAGAGCAACACTGAGAGAAACGGAGAAGCCGAGAGATTCGTAGAGATGGAAAACCGGTCGAAGAGTAGAACACCAGCTGCGCCGCTGCGCAAAGAGAGAGAATAGTTTTCTAAGAGAAAGCCAACAACACGTGTGTGTCCTGCGAAGGAGAAACTAACCAGGACTTCGACAGAGACTTAAGAGCTTTGGGATTATCCTAAAATAAATGTGGAGAATCTAAGATCAGATGATAATTGAGCGACTCTTAAACGATAATAAATAGGTCTAAAGCTTATAAACTTAACAAAGTTAATAAGAAATTTGAACTTTTAAGAGAATTTACATTATTATTAAAAAAAATACTTAGCATTTTCGATGAGTTCACTAAAAATTATACAAAATAAGAAAAAAATAAATAAAGTAATAAAGTAAACACAAAATAAGATGTTAAATTTTGTAAACAAAAAATTACTCTGTTTATTTTCATATGCAAGTTAAATAAAACATTTTCAAAAAGTGCATTTGTAACCATTATTAATAGTTTTAAAGATATTTAGATTTATTTTTATAAAATTGTCTGTTTCTTTAAAATCCACATCTTAATTAATAGCAATAAAAAAAATTTAACTGCTGTAAAAAAAAAATAACTTCTTTAGCTTACGATTAAGTTCACTTGTAGAAGAGCCCACTGTGGCCATAACTTTTCCGCCTATTTATGAATCACTTGACCATCCCCCGAAAGTTTGAAACGGAAACCCATACTTTAAGTCCCGCAAGCTAAGCCAAAAAGGGGTTCGTTTTTCGTCTATTCCTTCAGATCCTGCCTAAACGGCTTAAAAGGCTCGAATGAATGCGGGCAAAAACGTTTTTCTCCGACATTACGACCGCAAGAAAACAAATGAAATGAAAACTCCAAGGGTGGCCAACAAGGTGTTAAGCTCGAATGCACACAAACACTAAAAAATATTTATTATATATTTTATTTAAGTCCAAGCATTAGCATAATTCACTTGTGTTAAAGGACTTTAATTAGATTATTTTGTGGGTAATTTTTCAATGTTATTGTTTAGTTAATTAAACTCGAGCTGTGTTCGTTATTTTTTGATTTGGATTCCGATTGCGATTTCCAACCGATTCGCGACTGCGGTTTGTTATGTTTTGTTGTTGCGAACCCAACTAAATGCGATGCGAAACTGGCCAACAAAATGCGATATATTTCGCTGCCTCTGCTTCAGTCGCTGCCGACGTCGCTGCCGCTGCCAGCGTCGACTGAAGCAGAGCATTGGCTTTTCTTATTGGAACAAATACTCGGGAGACTTTGAGACCGGCCAGTTTTTATTTTTTTTTTTTTTTTTTAGTTCCTGGGGAAAAGGGGGCGGTATATATACTCTCCACTTGAGGCTAATAAGAAGAAGAAGAGGAAGAATCAGGGAAAGAGGAAGAAAGAAACAACAACAACAACAACAACCGCAATGAGAGCGAGTTGATTGCAACAGGAGCTTGTAGCAGCGACGCCGACCGCGCTGCCATTGTAGAAGAGAAAACTTTTAGCTCTTTCAAGTTTGCGGAAGCCAAAAAGAGAGTAAGAGAAAAGGAAGTGCATAACGGTCTAAGCCAAAAAATTGCATGCGACTTTATGCTTTCTTAGTGTTACTCTTATTTTGCAAAAAGAGCAAAGACCTTTTCTTAGGGGTTGATTTCTGACTGACCAGTAAACATTTTTTTGCTTATATTAAGATTATGGAGAGACCATTTCCAGTCCTTAAAAAGCTGCTAAAAGCTCTATTTAAAAACCATATAGTTTTGGGGAGTTATATATAAACTGTTCAAAACAAGATTATTAAAAGTATTCGTATTTGATTAATTTAAAGTAGGAGTCTTTTAATATAAGTTTCCAGGTGCAAAAAAAAATATGATATTAAAAGAAATTTAATGTTGTTCAGATTATTATATTTACACTTAATACTCTCAACAAGTTAAAAGCTTAATTTTCAATATTTTAAACTTTATAGGAACATATGACCTTTACTGATTTTGAAGTACTTTATTTAAAGTATCTATAAATTCACAGTCGTACACGTATAACACAGAAGATTATCAGTGCCAGTCAGTGGTTAATTGTTGTAGAAGGTGAGGCTCAACAAGATATTTCTCGAAATATATGTTATCTATACTCTTATAAAGTCAAACAATCTAAAGATAAACATACAACGCACAAAATATGGCTTATTAAGGGGACATATCATTTTTGCATTTGAATTTAAACAAGCGTTTTTTTCATAATAATTGAACGAATTTTAAACTGGTCACCTTAATTAGATTTCTGGGGGTTGACTGGGCTAGCAGTTTGGCCACTCTCGCATGCGATACTGAAAAACCCATTAGGAAACAACAACAGGTTTGAGTTGGCCAACGCAATGAATGTTGCATGAACCGAGCAACATGTTGCAAAGTGGCAATGAGTCAAGCTGTTGGCATTGGTTTCGCTTTTGTTTTTTGGTCAGGATCATGGATGTTGGAGGGAGCAGAGTAGAGATCATCATTACCCACATGCGGCTGATTACTCACGCGATGTCCAGCACACGCAATATCATCGGGTTCGGGATTGGCATTGGAATTGGGATTATGGACACCTTATGTGATCCGGGGTCGGTAATCGGTTAGCCGAGTGTTTTGTGCATATTGTGATATATTGACAGCATTAAGGCAGCGATAGTCGCGCTTCATTAATCATAGATCCTTAAGGTCTGAGGCCTATTAATTTGAACGCCACGAAACAAAACAGCTTCTTTCTTTGGGCCGTCTTTAATGGTGTGAACACGCCAGGAGTAACAAATTGCGAAATTGTTTACACTGGAGAAATGGAATAGATTCTCGAATTATTTATATTTTTTTTTACAAATAAATGTGATGGAAGATTTACTTATGACTAAAAAGAGTTTTATGAGTTCTTAAAATAGGATGGATTAAATAACAGTTATAGGTAAATTAAGTAAGTTAAAAACTAGACTTTCTGACTTACAAATTTTTAAATCAAGCAAACAAATTTATTTTTATAAAAAAAAAACAAATAATTTATATTGTAAAGTCGATCTAATGTTTTATCTATTAACGAACAAGAAGTTAACAGATTCGAATGATATATTTTTTGTTGCTATCTGAAATTGTAAAAAGTTAAGGTCTTAATTTCAACAAATAGTTCTAAATTCAGAATGATTTTTCCGCAGTGCTGAAAGAGAGAGAGAGAGAGAACGCACTAGAAAGAGAGAGCGATAGCCACCCGCCCTAGACAAAAGACAAAGCGATCCGAAGGACAACACAGCAGAAGGCGAACGGCGAAAACAGAATCGTAAAAAAAGGGAAAAAAGTTACACGCCTGCGCAGCGGGTGGCGCTTCTCTTGTAATAAAAACACGCCGGCGAGGGAGCGAAAGAGAGGGACGCTGGAGGCGGGACGAGAGGGAAGATAGCCCACTCACATATCGAAGCTTTCGATCAAATGGCCTATCAGATGGCCGCAGTCCCAAGATCCGAAGATCGCCAGATCCGAAGATATGCAGACTACGCCGACGATTCCTTGTGTGTTGAAAAATTCATTTTAATAAGCGCCCGTAAAATCAAGCGCGCCATATCTGAGCAATAAATAAATGACAATTATGAATTGTTCCCCGGACTAAACCGAAAACCCTTTTCCCAGCAGTTCCTTTCGCATTTCCATCGGCGCCCGTCGAGCGCTATGTGGAATTTAATTCTGGCGCTCACTGTGCGGGTCTGTCATCGTGCGAGGGCATTAATTTGTTGTTTATCGCACCTTGTTAAAAACCTATCTTACCAAGCGGAAAGATGAGATGGCGCTGCAGATGAGATGCCCAAGGAATTCCACAGATATCTTTGGCAAATCCAAGAAAGCAGCTAGGAACCAGCTTTAAAAAATAATTGAGAATCAACCTATTTAAAACAAAAAATGTAGATAAAAATAATATATATATAAATTTGGCAAAAAAGACTTTATTTATAATTTATATTAAAGCTTAAAAACAATTTCCTGCTGACATCCGGCTCACTCGTTTCGTTATATATAACAATTATATAACCATGCTAAAACAACAAACATTATTTCCAAAAAATAATACATTTTGTTGAGTCGTCAAACAAACAATTATGCAAACAAAAGAAAAATTCTAAAATTAAATAATTTAACAATACCTGCAAACTTATTTGTGCTGGGAATTTACTGCGGAAGCTAAAAATAGATAATATTTATGATCAAAAGGGGTTGACAAGAAATAAATCATATTAAAATGGTCGTTTGGGTTTGGTTTTATGACCTTAGATAAACGCCGGCGATAACAATGGAATTTTGTTTCCTCACCTTTCTTCTTTTTTCTCAACAAAACTCTGAAATTCCTGATCTCTAGTATATTTCTGGGGAATTCACAAAGGCATTATTGTTTTATGCGTATCTTATCTGGTTAATTGCCAAATAATTTAAATTAAAGCCCGAATATATTTTCTTACTCACAGTCAAGTTAAACTTTGTACCCAAATCGGGCATAAAAATAAAGAAAAATACAATTATGAATAATAACTGCGCATAGCAATGATACTTATCATGGACAGCATACAAAACGCTTTGCTATTTATTTACCCAACAAATTCCACGGGTTACTCCAATCATTTTAGCATTTTGTTTTTTTTGTTTTTGTTTTTTTTTTGCAATGCGCGTACCAAAAATGTCAACGTTGTTTATAAGGAGGAAAAAAAAGGCTAAATATATGACTTAACTGGGAGCAAGATCACGAACTAGTGGGGTAACCTAATATACACTAACCGAAAACAAGTTTATTGATTATCAGATGAATTTTCTTTAGGATTAAATATTTTAGTTCGTTTGTTTGTAATTTATGAAATTTAAGTGTTTAAACTAAAACATTAAATTGAAAAACATTGTATTTTGATTATCCTATTATCCCATTTAAAATACTTATTTACGTTATATTAATGTTGGTATAGATTCCCTAATATTGTTAATGTAAATGGAATTTTTTTGCTTCTTGTTATGACTCAAACTAAGCCCCTGTAAAAAATTTAAAACAAATAGTTTACATTTACTATGAAGACCAGAAAACGGTATTATAAACTTCGCTTAGATTTTAGTATCCCAGTCCACGCTTGTTTTTGTCAAATTTCGTGCGTATTTAATTTACGTTTTTTTCATTTTTTTCCAACTCTATCTGTGTTTTCATATTTTCTGTACAAGTTTATCGCGTTGCCTGTTGATTTATGCAAATTATTAAACGTTTTCTAATAACTCATTATGCCGCGTAAACAACGCGTCGCATGACTTGACGGTCCTCAGACATACCGTATAGATATGGGTATATATAGTAAAGGGGGGTAAAGTAAGGGGCACTAGCAATAACCAATGACCAATAACCAACAACCAATAACCAGAGTTCCATTTCCATTACACCTTCAATTGGCAGTCACTACTGTTGCGTCTTATTAGTGGAAACTTTTTGTTTTTAACACTCGCCGTCGGCCGTTGTCTTTTGTTGTTTTTCCGCTGTTAGCTGTCAATTTTCGCATCTGTCTACCGTCGAAGTGGCGGAGTTTCATAGCGTTTAGCTTTGCTGGATGTCAACCTTTTTTGCCCGCCGTGCAAATATGTTTCCATCCGTTTTGCCTGGTAATTAGGTAAATATTTTCCTATCGGGGGTCTCTCCATTTGCATAGATTTCAGAGTGCCGTGTATTGGGTTTTCTTGACCCAACATGGTTTCGTTGGCCGTTGGCCGATGGCAAAGGCTTTTACTTTTATGTGTAAACTCTGAGCCACGGGGTCAACAGAGGTTGCGATCGAGTAAGAGTCGTAGAGAAAAAAAGGACAGTAAATGTGGCTGGTGATGCGTCTGTGAATCCATAAAAATCGAATGCTTTAAAATGCGTTACAAAAGCCTAAGAGAGTCGTTAGAAAATTCCACATG